TATATATATATATATATAGATAGATAGATATACACGCACATATACCAGATTTTAAGCACTATAAGGCCCATATAAAAGCATTCGATTTTCTCAAAAGCCAACAGTGCCCCTTATAATCCGATGTGCCTTACATATGGATCAATATTCTCATTTCTTGGATGTAGTATTTTAAATGTTCTGCAAAGCGCTTTGTTACAGCTGCAGTAGTTGTGAATGCTCTCCACAAATAAACCTGTATTGTATTGTATTTTATTTCCTTTAGCGTAGCTCCATGTAGTGGATGCAAGACGCAACCGCAGCCACTATAAAAGCCTCGATTCTATACGTCTTACAATGCGATGTGGTGCGCCCTATATATGAAAACTGTTTTAAAGTAGGCCAGTCATAGAAGGGATGATACTTCAGACAAATACTATCTACAGTCATCATTTGTAGTTCGGAAGCAACATGAAGACAGTTTGAGTGAAGAAGCGTGCAGGGTTGTACCATCTTTGTCTCCCTGTCTAAACATCTCCAGTGCTCTTGCAACCTGCATTCGGATATTTTCACACAAGGGGAAACTGTGTCTGTTTCTCAGGGAATTTTTTTTCTTCTTCTTACCCCCCTCCCCCTCCCTCCCTCCTAAAATCCTTCGTCTAACTTGTGTTTTCTTTGTTGTGTTTCCAGGGCCGGTTGGTGGCCTGCATCACTCACAGCTAATGGATGTCTTTACCCACTATGCTTACAACGACAGTTTCTATGACAATGGAACTTGGGGCTTCAACGAGACCGATCAAGAGCAGAAGCATGCGTACAACTACTACGCCATGCTGCTCACGCTGCTCATCTTCGTCATCGTCTTCGGCAACGTGTTGGTGTGCATGGCGGTGTCGCGGGAGAAAGCCCTGCAGACCACCACCAACTACTTGATCGTCAGCCTGGCAGTCGCTGACCTTCTGGTGGCCACACTGGTCATGCCCTGGGTCGTCTACTTGGAGGTACTTAAAAATTGAAACACGTCTACCTTGCAGTGGTACCTCACTTCCAAGCTTGTTCAGTTTCTCTAGTGGCGGCGGAGGAGTAAAAGGGGGTTCTTTTTGACCACCGAGCTTGAAGTCATGGCATGTAATATACTGTCTCACTGTATATAGTCAATCATGAGGATTGGAACTCTGATTTGATTACAGCGCTTAAATCTATACGTCATGGCGGCAGTGGTGCATATTTTTTCTGTACATACGGCAGAAAGGTGTCCCGCGGTAACAGAATTTTAGGAAAGATTATTGCAAAAAGTTGAGCCACAGCCAAAAAAAGAAAATGATTAAATGGTGAAAAATGATTTCACAAAAAGTAGTATCTCCAAAATAGATTACAATATAGCATGATCACAGCTGAAATCTCGGGGATTGTGAATTGCTCAAGTGAGGCTTGCTCATCTAGATCGAAATTCACATTCTCTAAAAGTGCGCTAATTACGTTCATGGTCAATTTTTTTTTTTCAAACACATGTACTGTGTGAACAGGTGCAGTACGGGGACGAGGCTCAAAACCTTCTCCTCCTCTGTCACTGTAAACTGTTCATGGTTATACTGGTGCCTTACTAGGCATCATCAAACAACTGTGGGGCCGCAATGATAAACATGTTGTTCAAGAAATACCATGGCGACATTAAATCAAATTAGTTAAAGCAGAATTGTTGCAGATTGTGTCTCTTATTATGGATTCATGAAGTCTCGAGTTAGTGGCTGTCATCAAACAATGATGCCTGTTTAGAATTAAAACATCCGAATCAACAAATGAACAAGAAATAGTTGTTGTGATACAGCGTACTTTGTACACTACATTGAAACCATCTGAAATTATAATTCAAAGGCTCTAGTTCAGAGCAGTTCAGAGTCGATATTTCTGTCAGAAAAATGATGAAAACATAAAAAATCTCAATAAAAAAAAAAAA